TACTTCTCAGGAAGTAAATAACATGCCTGGATGCCTTGGGTGGGTTCGGCGATTAAGAAAGAACAGGGGAGAGAAAGGGAAGAACAGCAGGAAGATGAAAGGTCTGCTGGAGACGCAGGACAAATAAGTCACTTTCATCAAATCACCAGTTTCCTCAAGCGCTTCTCAGTAGCCCGGTGTTCATTACACAACAGCGTAAGGAAAGCTGCCACAGCGCTTCTGTCCTGTCTGCTAGGCATGCTTCTTTCAGTGCAGAAAGTCTTCAAACATCCCAGCTAGGACCTGGCTTCAGAAACTTGCCATTGTCTTGTCATTTCTTGTGGCCTGCTAAAAGCCACATCTATCCTGAAGGGAGGCGGAGGGGATGGCAGAACCCGTTATAGAATATGCTAATCGTTGGGTCAAACTTTTTTTTTTTTTCCACAACTTATAAAAAGTATCTTTTTAAAGCTGCTTAGTATGTGGAATTTCGATTCATTTGAACCAAGTAGGTGAGCTAAAGTAAAGTGAAAGAGACTCCATTTGTCAGAAGAGAGGATCTGCAACCCACATCCCTGAAGGATCTTATGGGAAAATGCAAACGTGTGTGTGTGTGTGTGTGTGATATTTTCAACACCAGAATATCCTCTTTCTTGCCTCCCAAATGGCATCCTGTTAAACCCTGGAAAATATAAATGTGAGAATGGAAACCACATTGTAGTCCAGTTTGGACTCAGAAGTATTCTGTAGTATTGAATTTGGATTCTCCTATTGTGTTATCAAATGACCCAGTGAAACTTTCTCCGGATGAGGCTCACAGAACAGTGAAGCAAAGATTCCTACGTAGATTGTCTTATTCTTGAATTTTAGGTTGTAATATGCTCACAAATCTGCCAGGACTGCTAGGACCTCCTTTACATAGGCCCAGATGCCTCTCCAGGGCAAATAACTTGCTATGTGGAAAAGATAGACAGAGATATTCAAGCCCTTTTTGGAAAAGAAGTGGGGAAGCATTGCAAGACACGAGAGAAAACTGCTTTTGGATAGTAGTAAAGGGATTGGCTTAGAGAACTTCGAAAAAACATTATTCAATGTTTTTTTTTTTTTCATGCAAGGAATCACGAAATGAATTCTGTCTTCAGAAGGCAAGTGGATCTGTAATGACTTCAGCCATCCTAAGAATGCCCTGAAGAAGGTATGGAAAAGAACACCGGAAATCTTCTTACATAGGTTCTGAGGAATAAATACCTTATTTTGGCAATAAAACTCTTAAAACCTACATTGTTATAATTTTAAATAAAATCTGTAGAGGCTGTTAGTTCTGATGAAATAATCATAAAATTTTAGAACTGAGAAATGTCTTAGAAACCCAACCTCTGTTTGAAGAAGAAGAAACCAAGGATGGGTGAAAAAGCGACGTGTGCGGACACGCGAGTTCAAGACTGAAGGTCTGGCCTCCGCTGTGCGAGCACTAAGATGCCAGCACGGGCTGCAGGGAAATAAAGAGACACTCAGAGTGAAAGGGAGAGGAAGAAAATTCCTTTGGAAAAGAGTGGGAACTCTTAGTGGTCATAGACATAAGAAGAAATATTATTTTTCACAGGAATGGTATGTTTTCTCCCTGCTACTTTTAGTCTTGTTGCTTAATTTCTCGTAACTGAAAAGCATTTCAACTCCTTCCCAGTCTTCCCAAGTTGATTATTTTTTCTCTTGGATTCAGCCATGAAAGTAGCTCCACTGCCTCCCAAGGTCTGCTGCTCCTGAGTCCACATCCGTCTTTGACTTTGTCACATTGGGAGGACTCAGGAGTCTCGCCCTGTCACCTGGGCTAGAGTGCAGTGGCATTGTCATAGCTCACTGCAACCTCAAATTCTTGGGCTCAAGTGATCCTCCTGCCTCGGCCTCTCCAGTAGCTGGGACTACAGGCACACACCACCATGCCCAGCTAATTTTTCTATTTTTAGTAGAGATGGGGTCTCGCTCTTGCTCAAGTTGGTCTCAAACTCCTGAGCTCAAACAACCCTCCCACTCTAGCCTCCCAGAGTGCTAGAATTACAGGTGTGAGCCACCGCACCCAGCCTCTTACCTTCTTTTTCCTAGAGGGGCATCTGTGCGGATGTAGATGAGTACTAGCAGTCCTTGTGGATTTGTTAACATATTACAGCCTAAAATTTAAGAAGAAGGAAATTCACGTAGGAATCTCTGCTTTACTCTTCTGTGAGTCTCCTCCAGGGTAACTTTCTTCGGGTCACTAGAAATGTGGTAGAAGAGTTCGAGGCTGATTCTATAGCAACATCTGAGTCCAGACTTGGCTGACACATGGTTTCCCTTCTCACATTCATGCTTTCTGGTATTTAATGGGGTGTCACTTGGGAGGCAAGAATGTGTTGAAAATCTCTCCCCCTACACATTTGCACTTTCCAGTAAGGACCTAGGTGGTGGATCTGCTCACCCAGATATTTGCTTGGTCAATTTCAAATTTCTCTATGTCTCTTGTCTCTGTCTACCTCTGTCTCTGTCTCTCTCAAGTTCACATATTACAAAATGCATAAATATAAAATTAAAAACGTCCAAATGATCCTTCTTCCTGTTGATTTTAATTAGGCTAATTTCAAAGGGTTAGTGATCTCCCACTGGGAACTGCAGCCTTCAGATCTGTAGCCATCCTTTGGAGAAACAAGCTAAGTAGCAATGTTATTGAATTTCTGATTGTGTATCAATTGTGCATAAACTGTCAATGCCAAAAGCATTAACTATTAATGTTTCCTGCCAATTCTGGAAACAATAAAATAGAAAATATAAGTTTGTTCTCATACTATTAAGCCACAATATTAAAATAGTCTAACTTTGTAATTCCCTTTACTGCTGAGGATAGCAGTTCATGAATACGACTGTGAATTGTAGCTGGGGAAGTACTGTTTTAGCATCCAGCCCCTTTAGAAAGTGAAAGGATGGAACATAAGGTCAGCAAACAAAACTCAGGGCTCTTCCACAAAAGCCAGGCTACAAGGCCATCCCAATTCTACCTGACAGTGAGGTAGTTTTTCTTTCTGCACGTTGTCACCCCTGCAGCCGCTGGTGGTGCTGATTAGAGCCTGGAGGAACCCTGGATCCGCTCTTTGTTACATTGGGAAGTACAAGACGGCCTCTCTCTAGGCAATGCACCAAATTGGAATTTAAAAAAGAGATAAAAATAATTTTAATGTGGGGCTAGAAGTTGAGTCTGTGCTTGTGAGTATTGTTGAGTAAAGTGGCCGTGTTGCAGAAGGGAAAATCAAGGCACCAGTCAGTTGAGTAACCTTCCCAAGGCTACCGACTATGGGACTCCAGGCTCCTGGCATCTGATCGCACTGTGCTGGGCTGTGCGGGCTCTGGTTGGCATCTGACCATGGGGTTGCCTAAGATCCTGGACCATGTTAAGAAGGTCCCTGGTCCCTCTGAGCCTAAAAGGCCAGGATGATGCAGTTACTCTGTATCATTCAAGAGCTTCTTGCGAGGACCCAAAGAAAGTATGCACTGACAGGACTTTGTAAAAGACAAAGAATAATGAAGGCACCAACAGAGTATAAGAAACAACAAAGCAAGTGCTGTGTAGCCCTATAGCACATTCTGTGTTCTGCATTTGGAGTGCTGCATCTTCAGGGGCTGTTTAACAGCTTCCTCCCCTCCCTGTGGTTGCCGTGGTGAGATCTAGAGGCTCACCCAGGAGTGCATTCCATTTTGGGTGTGGTATTTTAGAGTTGGGATAGCAAGTAGACGACACCACCTACGCAACAGACCTTGGAGGCAAACAACCAACTGCAGTGTGTGGACCTTTTAGGGCTCCGATTCTAGGAAAGCAACTCCTAAAAGAGTCACTTGTGAAATAATCAAGATCATCTGAACACTGATTGGCTATCACATTATATTAAGGATCTAGCATTGACTTTTTTCCAGAGACGAGAGTGGTACCGTGGTGATATTTTTAAAACCAGTCCTTTTCTCTGAGTTACACATTCCAAAGTACTCTCAGATGGACATCTTTGAAATGAGTGGTTATTCTTTGAAATAAGCTAGGAGGAAGGAGATTTTCAAGGGAAGGAACAAGATTAACGACATGTGGAATTCGGGTGGGGGCTGCCAACAGGTTTGTGACGCTGTTGTTAGCACAAAGGGCACAGTCTGAAGGTGAGGGTGCTGCTGCACCACGCCCGGCAGCTCCTATGGGGCATTGCAGGTGGCCTTTCTTGCTTATTTTATAGCTGCTGACATTCATTGGCTACATCCTCATTTATCACCCGGGCCACTTTTGTAGAGAGAAGCTTTTCCTCATAAACCATTTGGTGACCCTGAAATATGATGTGGCCAGGACAGGCAGGTCAAATGTTTCCTTACTCCCTTCTTTCGCGGTTTCTAGGATAAGGTGCCTGGATGGAGCCTGCTTGGCCGGGCGTTGCTCTCTCCTGCCCTCTGCTGGACGGGATGCCACACAGACACCCACATGGTCAACCCCTTAAGTCATGGTTGGGGGGAGCGGGTCCCCAACAACCTTGTCATCCCACCTCATCTCTTTTGTTTTTCTCCTCTGAGGTCTACGTTTTGAAATATAGGCCTTGTATTCCAAACAAGGCACGCTTAACATCGATTTATTTTCCATTTTAATTAACAAAAGACATACGTAACTGTGGAGCAGAACTTCCGAGCAGAAAAGAAAACCAGTATTATTAAGATAAATTGATATAATGCAAGCCCAAACAAATGACGTTTTACTTAGGTTTATTGCTGATGAGATATACATAATTTTTTTGTTCTGTTTTTAAGGTGTCAGAAATCACGCCTAAGCTGTGTGGCTGTCTTTCCCCATCTGCAACCCCAGGAGGCTGAGAGCTCTGCTCTGCCATGACCCCTACATTGCTCTGCGTTGAGTGGAAGCTCTGCAGGCCTCATTCAGTGACTGGATTCTTGGTTGCACGGGGCACGCCCTTGTCGTAAGGCCTCAGGAAGTGAAGGCACAGAGGTCTTGCCTTGAGCACAACTGCATTTCAGTGTATCATACGCTTCAGTAAGCTGTCACTCCACTTTTTCAAACAGCACGCAGAGGTGTTGGGACACCTTCCAATTCTGTATTCCTGGCTTTGGCATTCCCTCCGGCAGCGAGCAGTACCATAGCCGCATACTCTGTCCACTTCAAATTCACTTCTCACTAGACGACAGGGTAAGTCACCATGGTTAATTGAACCCCAGCACTGAAAGGCCAGACTGGCAGCGGGTTTCTTCAAGGAAGAGGTGGAGAACGCTGGAGCAGGGTGGCCCAGCTCTTCCCAATGCCCTGACTCTCCCACGCTTTCTCACCTGCCCGACTTGGCCCTCTGGTTCCCAACCAGGATGGCTTTCTTTCTTGAACATAAAAATCAGTCCATGTCACATATCTTTTTAAAAATCCCTACAACAGTGTGCCATAACTTTTTGATGAAATCTAAACAAGCCCACTACCAGGTCCCCAGAGCTATCTTGATCTGATTGGGGCCACCTCTTCCAACTCTTGGTGCTCCACTGTGCCCCTCCCCCCAGCACCTGCCGTGACACCCCTGCTGGCTGGCCCTCTGCTATTCCAGCACCTTCCCTCACACTGTCCCCTCTGCCTGGATGCTCCTTGAATCTTCATCTCTCAACCTTCAGGTCACAACGCTGGGGACACCACTCCCTGTTCTCTCCCTGTCGTTAAATGCCCCACACGATTTTTCTCCCTGTGCATGTTTTATTCTTTCATATTATCTATCCCACGTTGCAGTCACATATCTTTTTTTCATTATTTGCTCTTCTGATTTAAACGTAAGCTCCCAGAGCGTGAGGAGCATGTCTGCACCGCTCACTAGCATGTGCCCAGCATGAAGCACGTAACACGTGCTCAGGAAGAGCCTGCTGAGTAAATGGCTGGATAGACTAGACTAGAAAAATCCAGAAGAGACTACAACAGGCCCGAGTAGAGTAGAGGAAACTGGAACAGACCAGCATCCCGACCGTGCGGCCCCTGCCCCGGAGAAGTTTGGGGGGAGATGTAGATTTAGTTACAAGGTCTCAGGAGGTGCTCACTGAGGCTGAAAGCAGATTTTTAAAACTTGTTACCGGACGCGCCAAACTGGTAGCATCTTACAGCAACCCCAGGAGAGCCCAGAAGTGCGGCTGCTGCTGGAGGTGGAGTAGCAGACAGACTACCAGAGCCTTGCCACGTAGGACTGGCCTGAGGCTCTCTTGCAAACTCAGCAGGACCCAGGTTGGGGGAGGGTGCCAGGAGGATGCTGGGGAGTAGAAAGTCTGCTGTGCAGAGGTGGGGGCTCCTCCTTATTGCACCTGAGTCCCTCTCCCCTCCCAGCCACTGTCTGTTCATTTTCCACAGAGCAGAGGTGCAGGAGAACTCAACAGGGCTGATTATCCTTGCACCAGGGTTTTGTGTCTTTCCTAGTAAATAACATCCTCCTATTTCCAAAGCTAAGGCGTCAGGGCAGTTGGATCGGGGCGCAAGTGGGGACCAAGAAGCGGTTTGACCGAATCACCTGCTTGACATGGTGCTAAAGAGTCCCACGGTTAGGATGGCCCCTGGGGGGTGGGGAGAAGAGCCTGTTTTGCTGTAACCTCTGCCGCTGTGGTCGGAGTAGAAGGCAATGAAGAAAGGAGTGAGACGAGCTGCAGTATTTATTAGGCTGAGGCTAGGTAGTACATAGATGACTTCTGATGTGTTTGGAGCCAACTACTTTACAGCCTGGAGTTAGAGGAGCAGCAGGAAGCCACTGTGTGTACTCAGGGAATGTGCAGCTTAGAGTTAGTGGAGAAGCAGAATAGACTAGAAAGACAATCCAATCTTTACAGTGCCAGAGCATCAGCTCCAGCAGATGATCATTAGCCACCTATTTAGAGGTGGGAATTAAGTCCCAGAGAAGGAAAGTGACTAACCTGAGGTCACACAGCAACTTACGTGTCGGAGCTGGTCTTATAGTCTGAGGAATCACAATATGAAAGGGAGAATGTAATCTATTAACCAAGCAATAAATAGATTCTAAGCAGTAGATAGAATATTTATTGGTAGATCCAATCACATTGGGTCTCTTTCTTGAATAAGCGATTGCCCTCCTCTGCACCCATTCCCAGTCCTTGTGGGCGTTTAAGGGGTTGATGGTTGTTGAGAGCCAAAGTCACCCAAAGCAGGAGCAGCAGGAGATGCAGGTGGGAAGTGCTCCCTCCTTCACCCTCACTCGCCTCTGCCTGCTACTTTCTCCCAGACCTGTGGTCCCTCCACCCCTGCCCTGGGCCTCACAGCAGGAGGTGAGTATCAGGTGAGTGAGTGAAGCTTCATCTGTATTTACAGCTGCTCCTCATTGCTCACATCACCATCAGATCAGGGCGGGCATTAGATTCTCACAGGAGCGCAAATCCTATTGTAAACTGCACATGGAGAGATCTAGGTTGTGGCTCCTTATGACGATCTAATGCCTGGTGCTCTGGGGTGGAGCTGAGGCGGTGATGCTAGTGCTGGGGAGCAGCTGCAAACACAGATGATCATCAGCAGAGAGGTTTCACTGCACAATAAATACAAATTGCTTCAATCATCCTGAAACCATCCTCCCCACCCCAGTCCGTGGAACAATTGTCTTCCATGAAACCGGTCCCCAGTGCCAAAAGGTTGGGGACCTCTGCCCCAGATCATCTTCCTGCCAAGGCCTTTCCTTAGACCATGCTGCAGAGGCCAGTCTCACCTACCCCCAGCAGCACATCGCAGTGGCAGCTCCCATCTCTGCACATCACTTCCTGGCCCTGCGGAGGCACCTGACTCAGGCTTTCTATCTTGACAGGTTCTTTGTCTTGTGATCATAGGTTGAGGGAAACCTGTCTTTTGATAAGTAGATTACTGTCATATTTTGACAAACCTGGAACATGCTGATAACAGAATGTTATAGAAGCGTCCATGAGAAATGACCCAGGAAGACAGGACAAGGAAGGAGTAAACTAAACACATGCCCTCTGAGAAAAATGATTAACCCATGTGAGTCACTGCTGAGATCCAGTTGGGAAGAGGGGAAGGAAGCATGCTGGGCTTCTGGGCTTCTTCAGAGCCTTGGAAAACCCAGGGGGCAGCTTGGGAGGGAGGATCACATGGGTTCTATGAATCATAACAATTGGTTCAGTCCCAGCACAGCTGGATGTGTTGAGCAACTTTGAGAAAATTACTTCCATTCACTGTACTATTGGCTCAGCTTTTGAAAGGAGGGACTTAGGTTAGATGATCTCTAATATCCATTCCATATCTCATATTATAAAACTGTATGCTTCTTGGCACACAGATTAACACAGGAGTCAGAAGATTGCTGACATCTCAGTCTGACTTCAAAATTTCCTTAGCAGACTCCAAAGACACCTGCTATTTATGTGTGTTATTAATAAATTATGTTTTTGCCTCCTAAATTCACTGCATTCCTCTTGATCCTAATTTTCTGACCTGATATGAAAAGTTGTAAAATTTAGAAGGAAGGGTAGGTCCTCTTTCTGTGCAGAGCAAAGCTGTTCAGAAGGAGACAGATGGGAGAAGCCATCTCATTCCACAATGAGGAATACCTGCAGCTGCCCTGCAGTGGAGTAAGTATGGCTGGTGAGTCCTCATCGCTAAGGAATCCAAGAAGAACTACTACCATGGGCATCTTGGGGTCAGTGACATCTGAGAACCCTGTCTCCTGCTTTTGTTTTCCTCCCTAGAGCTGTAAGCCTCACAGCTGGGAGGTGTGTCTCAGTGAGGACTGCCACTCGCTGCAGTTTACTAATGCACCCAATGAAGACAAAGCGATAAAGGCTGGGATTGAAGAAGGTTGCTGAATCCTTCAGGATTCTTTTTTCTAAATCAAGTTTTTCTCCCCACCTCTCATCCTCTGCCACTGCGTATATATTTCCAGCTGAGAGCCTCTTTTTACCTGGAGGATCTTGGGAGAGCAGAAGAGATATGGCTAAGAGCAGCACAGGGATCCTCATGGCGGGAGGGCTGCTGGAGTGAGCAGGGGCAGGTAGGAGGGAATCACCCCCGGGCAGGACAGGGCAGCTGTTTTTATGGGCAGGGCTGCTTCTGATTACTGAAGCTTATCAAGGGCGCTGGCATTGCCCATGAGCACCAAGACTCAGTGTGAGGGGGCGGTGTTGGGGCTTTAGAAATGTGGGCTTGGCAGAACTCAGGACAGGGAGAGTGAGTATCGTATGGGAAGTCTGAGTCCCATCATTTGCCTCCCCATCTGAAACAAGAATTGTATTAGATGATCTCCGAGATACCCTTCGGCCTCAACATTCTGTGATTCTGGTGAAAGGACTTTCCATTCTGTTTCAGTTGAACTGGTATGAAATCGCTCCAGGTGGGTGTCAGTCGGGAACTTCTTGTCGAAAACATCGGTGTAGGTAAGTGGGGCTAACGTCCATCCCTTCCAAGTAGCCTCTGGAATAAACATACAGGAATAAATAAATACACAGTGTCAAAGAGAAGCATGGTGTGGGACATGAGGAGGTCATGAATGCATGAGGGGTCTCAGCACACTTCTGGAACAGGAAGGGTGTGTGGTGAGAATGACAATAAGTGACAATAGGGAATACTTTATGGTGGGCATCATCAGTCATCAAAGGGGGCGAAGTCTGGCTACAGAACAGCAGACTGGCTTGGAGCTCAGAACAAAAAGGGGGACAAGAGTGAGAAGAGAGAAGTTAAAAGGGGAGGGAGGACTTATTGAAATGCTTATTTCTAACAATGGCACCAAATCACCTGTGACCTTACTCTTTACCCTTCCAGAGAGCATATATGCCTTTGGATATAATCCCCCCTGCACCCCAGGCAAAACAGACAGGGTATAGGCTCCCAGGAATTGCCCTTAGGGAAAACACCAGATAATTTATTTTAATGAAAATTCATGAGGTATGTTAGAGAAGATGAAAATGTCCAGTTTTGGAAGTTGACATTCTAGGATAAGCTCTCCTCATTCTGAAACACAGATTAGACAAAGCCTGGGAAACAACATTTTGTTCATACATCCTAAGCAAAACCAAGCAGAGCTCACACTTATGGGAGAACAAGACAGAGAACCGATTCTCCTCACACAGTAACAGGATAGAAAATCAGAGATCACCACATGTACCAGTTTAGATTCCCCAAGAAGCAGATATCAACAAGAACGAGAAAGAAAATGAATTTATTGGGGAATGTCTAAGAAGGACAGAAAAGAATCATGCTGACTGGAAAAAAAGCCAATCCCAAAAGGTTATATACTGTATAATTCCACTTATATGACATTCCTAGAAGGACAAAGCTGTAGAAATAGAGAACAAATTAGTTGTCCCAGGGTAGAGAAGGAGGTGGAGGTGGGGGGAAGAGGGTGTGGCTCTAAAAGGATAACATGAAGAGTCCCTGTGATAGGGAAATGCTCTGTGTCAATGTCAATATCCTGGTTGTGATTTGCACTATAATTTTGCAAGATGTTACTATTGAGAAAAATTTAGTAAAAGATCTGGGAATCTGTATGTATTATTTTTTTGCCACTGCCTGGGCATCAACAATTATCTCAAAACAGAAAGTGTAATTAAGAAGTATGTTGTTAAAGGGTTATTGATTCTAATGGGATTTAGTACCTTGATCTCCAGGAATTAAGGTGGAGGTAAGGCAAGGTTTCCATCCCAGGAGGGATCTACACTGAATCTTAAGCATTAGGAACATGACAGGAAATTCTTACTTAAACTAGATAATTGTCTTAGTTCATTCATGCTGCTATAACAAAATACCTTACTTACACTGGGTAATTTATAAACAATAAAAATTCACTGCTCACAGTTCTTGTGGCTGGAAGGTTCATCCTTCTTCCTTATATCCTTCCTTCCTTCTTTCTTCTTCTTTTTCTCTCATCTCAATGGGTTGGTTATGGCCAACTGCCTGTGTGCAAGCTAGAGGTCTGTTGACTTATATTCCCATTTTAAGAAAAATATTGGATGACTTTGGAACAATTTCTTTACTCCAAAATTATACAAAATAAGCCAGGGTGGAGGGACTATAAAGATTAGGTACTCATATTCTCTCTTCCAAATGAAGCATTTGACAAACTGAACAAAGACAGCCATTTATTTTTATTGAAGTGTCTGCTTATAACAGAGGCTGGTTTAAAAAGAAGAAGCTAGGTCACTGATGCTTCTCCAGGAAGCTTGTCTTCAAAATTAGTCATCTTCCCTATGATTCCCACATGGCTGGAGAATCATGCAGCATCTCAGGGTCTTCTGGCAGAGAGCAACAAATTCTTGATTTTTCTCACAAGAATGCCTGCATCTCCCACCAAGCTTCTGGCATTTGTCATCAAAAAATGCATTCTTGGCTACACAAGGGAAGGAGCCACCTGGATTAATCCTCTTTTCATACATGTCTAGATACCAGTGATGTAATGAGTTGGTGAAGATTTCTTTACAAGCTCTCACAGTGCCATACCCTGCAGTTAGATGAGATGGCTGGGGAAATATTTCCTATTGGATATTTATGTCCCCCCCCCCCCCGCACAGTGTGAAATGCCAGGAAGAATAGATTTGCTTTCCAGCATTTGAGATTAGGATGTGTGGGGGCTTTGGGAAACAGAAACTATCAAAATCTGTAAAGGTAATTATCAACTTGTTCCTACAAACAACTCCAGAGTCCATGAGTTCCCCAATGGACTCAGAAAGATTGCTACTTGTTGAGAGTAGAGCAAGAGCTGAGATTGGGGTGATGGCTCAAGACTGGATAGATACATAAAAAGAAAAAATATGTTTACTATTGTAGACAGAAAGTAAAGAAGCTGCCTGGAAAGGATTTCTCCTCCATAGTCCATCAAAACACCAGCTGTGGAAAGCAGGTGCTTTGGAGCGGGTAGGATGAGTATGTTGGGAATGGTTCCTTAAGACTTTTCTAGTGTTATTTTGCACAGTTCTGGCCTTAGGACTTTATCAGTAGCAATAATAAGAGCAGTCTACTTCAAATTAAGGACAGACAACATATCTTATCAGAATCAACATTTTAGAGTTGCCTAATTTGAGTGTATGTAATGAAGCTGTCAGATGGACACAGATTGCATTTCATGTCAAAATATAAAGGTACCTAATTCACATCTACGTGAAACTCAACAACCAGATGGATCAGTGCCAGCATATGCACTAATTATTATCCAGGGTCAGCATCTCTGTTCATAAGTATAAATACCCCACTATTTTGAAGCTCAGTGAACCCTGCCTACCACTGCAGGGGTCTATGTTGTTTCTGCCATTCTGTCAATAATACCGTGAGGCTGTCTCGGGCCAGAGTTGCAGGACCTCACTCTGACAAGAGTCCTTGTATTGGATCCAATTCACAGTGATAACCCAGGCTGACTCAGGAAGTAAAAAGAGTGTTGGTGCCCATGAGCTTCCAATGGATCATCACAGATGCCCATGTGGATACTGTGTGTGTGTGTGTGTGTGTGTGTGTGTGTGTGTATGGTGCATGAATACATTGGTTTTATTTAAATATATTAAATAATTTTATAGTAAATAAATTTGTATTGTGTTGACTCATAATGAGTGATCTGAAAAGGATACTTCTGGTCAGTTTCCGATGTATAAGTCAACACCAGTGGGGTGGATGTAGCAGGGTTCACTGTGGGTCCTAGAGCCTCGTATCCTCACACAGAGTCTACTCACATGGGCTTGTCACAAAACAGCTGGTGTGAAATTTCTGGGCATTATTCCTGGGGATAATGTATCACTAGCATCTGGCACAAATTTGGACTTATCATGGGTTCTGAGAGACCCTTTCTTCAGCTCTCTGGATCTTTGGGTGAGTATAGTCTTATACCTTAACTGGAGCGACTGGAGTTTCCCAGGAACAAGAGAGCTCTGACATGGGGAGGGCATGATAAATGCCTCTCACTGGGACAGAGTAGAGCTGAACTCTGCTCCTGGCTTCACCCTTTTTTGTCTGCATGACTCTGAGAAGCTGTTTAGCCCATTTGAGGTGCAATTTCTGCATCTGCAAAATACATGTAAAATGGATGGTCCCAAACAAAAAAGAGGCCCTGAATACAGTGCAACTGAAGGTAAGAAAGAGTTTTCCTTAAAGGCACTGGCTTTGGAGCATTAAAGGCATTTTATGTGAAATTTTTATCATAGCACTCAGCTTTATGGTATGTATCCAAGGAATGTCAGCCTAGGTCATGCTGTGTCGTCTGCTGCTCAACGAGGTGAATGCATCGGTGTCTCTAAGCTCCATTCCTTCTCCCTCCCATTCTTTCCTTTCTTTGTCTCTCTTCCTTGTTTCTCTTAATCTTTACCATAACCATATCTTAAAAGGTCCATAGACTCTTTGCTTTTAATTTTTTTTCCCAATCTTTTTTGGCGGCACCAAGAGTTGTTTTTCCTTCCTTTATTTCTTCAAACCTGTGACAGCCCCTCCCAGAAAATAATAGCAAATGCAAGGGATTTATGGAAGAGGCGTTAGGGTGGAAGTCTCCTCCTGCAGCAAATGGTCCCCCCGCAGGGCCACTGGACCAAAGGTGCCCTTGCATGCCAGGGCTGGTCATGCCTGGACGCTCCCTGAGGTCGACCTTCCCTCTGGGACACCACCTCTGTCCACCTTCCCTGTCAAGATACTCATATTACCTGGGGCCACAAAGAGGAGAACAGCAGAGAGAACGATGAATGTCCTCATGACTGGAGGGTCTTGAGAGAGCAGCACAGTGTCCATGAGAAAAGGGCCATGAACACCCACATTTATACGCTTCTCCAGAACAAATAACATTTTGATCGCTGAGGCTTGTCAGGGATAAGAATCTTTCCATGCTCTGCTGAGTAGAGCCCACAAACCTCAGTGGGTGTCACTCCATCCACAGTGTACTGTCTTTCTGATTTTGGAAAGTTCCCAGGAAGGAACATGGAGATGACAGTTTGGATTTCCAATCCTGACCGTGCTCCTTAGTATCAGTTAATCTTCTGAAATACCCTGGGAAGCACATACCATTATTATATCTTTATTTTAAGGATTAGGAAACTGAAGTTCAATAAATCAAGTAATCTATCAAAGGGTCAGACATTGCTAAGTCTATCTTTCTGACTTCATAGTCTTAAGGTTTTCTAATTATTCCATTTTGCATTCTAGAAATGAAGAACAGAAATATAGGCAGCTTATTTGGGGGGCAGTGATGTAAATATGATTTTTGATACCCATGTTCTTAATGAATTAAAAAGACATGGCAATCACGGCTTTATTCTCTGAAGTGACGTTGTCACAGGCAGAGGGATTCAGAGCTAATTTGTAAAATGACTTCTCCCTCTCCCTTTCTCCCTGTGGTATTTCTGAACAACAAAAATGAAGGCTGGGAAAAGAAGAATCCACATTTATTGAACTTTTAAGGGTACCAGACCCCCTAAGCATGCTACATGTACAAAACACTTTTGCATCCTAATCATACTGGATAGATCTTTACAACAACCTTGAAGGGCCACAGAATTTGTGAGTTTTTTCTTATTTTCATCCAGAAAATGGAAGCTGGAAGAGATGGAATCATTAGCTCCTCGTCCCTGGGTGACTACAGCAGCCCCATGAATAACCCCTGGTCTCCTGACTCCCAGGCTGGTGTTCTCACGACACCAGTTAAACTCCTCCGAATATAAGGCTTCATGGGCGTCCAAGGCCATTATCCATGATATCAGCCCTTGATCCTGAGAAATGGTGCATATAATTATGCTTCCTTTGTTGATTCACTTCACTGACCAAGAGCATACCCCATTACTTTTAAATATAAATGAGCCTCTTGTCTTCTCAAAGAAATCCCAAACCTCTGTTCTAAAGAGTCTTCCTTAAAGATGGCTCTGAGCAGGAAGATGCTTTATTTTGTTTTTGCTTTGTTCTTCACTTTGGCTCAATTACCATCAGGTAAATGCAAATGGATGGGATTTTGATGGGGCGGATCATAAAGCTTGAAGAATCTTCTAGGTACCACCCTGAAAGTGAGAGTAAAGGTCCACTTTCCATGCTGCCTCTCATGGGGATTTCTTGGAGCCACCATGGCATTTTCTAAGAGCAAACTGTGTATGATACTTTACCTTTTGTTTTTGTTAATTTGGTATTGCTGGTGCCAGGAGTGCTGGCTTGTGACACAGAATAGAATAAAGTTCACAACTCTGTGATCTCCTGTTTCTTGACATCCTATGTCACATGTGGAGTTGGGAATATTGTTTTATAGGGTGTTTTATCCTGTGTTGATTTTAACTTTCAAAATGTGTGTTGTTTTGAATTTAGGGTGCCAGGCAGGAATGGATTACCCCCAGTTGTTTCCAGGAGGTAAGTTAAATCCCTTGCATATAATTTTTCCTTTCTTTTAGGAGCTTTGGCCCTGTTAGCTATTGTTGACTTCCAGAGAGTAAGAGAGGATAGAGACAGTTGTGCAAATAGAATTGTCTGGAGATCTCAGTCCACTAACTCTATTTTCTATTTTTCCTCTTGTCCCCAGTATCATATTTATATTTTTCCATTTTGCAGAGAAATATCTTTATTACTGGATGGCAATTTGGCCATAGAAATTTGTACCCACTGACTCTTCCCATTAGCTCACGATGCTAACTAACCCAAGGTCATAGATTTAATCTTTTAGCAGCCAATTAGCACTGCTCTGAGAACCTGCCTGCCCATCTATTTCACAAGCTTATCTCCTAAATCTAGTAAAAGTCAATGCATGCTCTTGGTTGAAGAAGGCTCCAATAAAAGAGTGGCTCAGTGGAACCTCATCATGATCACAGAAGAACTATTCATAAGGAATAGCCCACAGATTTTTTTTTTGTGAAGTCATATTTCACAGGAAGAAAGCACATTGTAAACTGAAAGAAAAATTGTAAAAAAAAATGGAAAGCGTTTAGACAGAATTTCAGAGTAAGAAATATACAGGTTGCTACTAGTCATCGAGTGCCTGTTATGTAACAGACACTCTATTCAACAACTTTACATGGATTGTGTCATTTAATCTCCAAAATGCCCCTATGACGTAGGTACTATGATAACCAAAATATTCTCACATAAATTATTCCATTTGATCACTAAACAGACTAAAAATGTAGTCAGGTGCTTCTAGAATGTGGACTAGACAAATAAGAAAACAGAGTGAGAGTTTACTGAGGACATGCAAAGGCCTGGGAAAGAAGTGTCCAGCCACATAACCATTCTTATTATGTTAATGATGGCTGGATACTTTCTGGGCAGACCTTGTACGAGGCCCAAACAAGAATTAAATCTTAGTCTCTTAACTCCATTGTCAAAGATCTTTCTAAAACCACAAGGTATCCCTCCCATTTTCATGTAGCAAACTTCACAGGGGTATCAGGTGTGTATTTTTATAGTTCTGTGATCTATATGTCATGCTTTCTGCCCGTGGCTTACTTTTGCTCCATGCAAGATTATAAGCGCTTGGGGAGCAGGAATTCTGATTAGCTCTTCCTTAAGAATTAACCCTCCCCAACTCCATCCTGCAAAAAGCAGAAGCTCTTTGAAAAATCTGGGCTGGTTCTTGAAAACAGTCTTTATAATCATCCATACAAACCCTCCCTTGGTTGGTGGCCTTTGCTACATCAGAAAGCCATGTCAGCAGCTCTTTCTTGGCACAGGGGAGTTTGCTGTTTGCGAGCCATGCAGGCTTGGTCGGGGCAAGTGCAGGAGGATGTGCTTGGAGAATGAGAAGATTAAAGGACGTTGCAAGCTAAACTTTTTCTGCTGCCAAAGGAGGAGCTTTTAATCCAGACCAACAACACTCTTCTGGTCTTAGGAGCAGGACTGGATGTTCGAGGAAGGTCAGAAGAAGTTACGTGGCTTCTCCACGTCACACAGTGAGTGAGTTTCAGGACCTTTCTCATTTCTTTCTGTTTTGTTTCTTTGCTTGCTTTTAAAGATGGTCTTAAAAAAAAGACACAAGAGGATACCTAATAGCTACCCACTTAATCAGATAGCAATACTATATATTTGTGGAGTACCTTATAATTTATAAATTCTTATTTCGTACTTTTCTCATATGACCCAAGGTTACCTCATAAGGTAGCTTTTATTTTTCCTATCTCTATTTAAAGGAATGGAGACCTAGGAGGCTGTTATTTCCTTGGGGCCATAGCTGGGAAGCTGTAAATGATGTGAACACAGCTGTCATATTGTGTATCTATCTGCGTGTATTAATTCTCGCTTAATTAACAGATAAATGGAAGTGGCATCCACATCTATGTTAATGGAGTTATAATTCTGTTGAATATAAGAAACTCTTTTTATTCGTGTCATTTCTTGGTATCCTAATTGACACATTCATCAATTCTAGTACTTAGGGTGTATTTTTAAAACAACTCACATCTACTCAGTTAATGCCTACAACGCCAACTTTGCATTTCTCTTCTTGCCCATGAAAGAAAATGGTTACAGATGCACAGAATGTTCAGCACAGAATGTACATAAATGATCAACTGTATAACTTTTGCCTTATGAAATAAAATTTATAGCTTCACAAATAAAGGTCAAAATTACCAGTCCTATGGCCAATGACTCAAATGTGGTCACTCAGTTTTAACACGTGAGACTGAACAATATTTTGCTTAACATTTGAGCATATCCTTTGTCTCTTTGTGCTCAGACTCATCCTTCATTATTTCCCCACTTTGCTCTGTAAAACAAGAGCGATGCAATTACACTTCCCAGGCTTCCTGACTTCTGGCTGGTTTCAGTCAATGCAAGCGTCTCCCAGGCGAATGGGAGGTTGGAGAAAGGGTGGACTTGGGGAATTTCTCCCCGACTCTCTCTTCTCTCACCCCCACAGGACAGTCCCTGCATCTGTGTCCTCAGCTCTCGCCTGGCTGTCCCACAGCAGCTGTATCCTCTGCCAGCCCACACTTGCCCTTGGTTTCCCCCAAACCATAGCACGGTAGAGGTTCCAGCTGTGGCTATCTTTAGGGCTGCCTCATTGCTCCAGGTTTGCATTTACAGTTTTTCCAACACTCCATGGTCGGCTGTCCATGTCCAGTTCTCTCTATGGACTGACCTGGTGTGAGGACCCTTTCCATGTCTGGACCCTGACTGGTTTAGCTTTTAGGTTCACTCTATGTTCAGATTTATTTACATATTGTATTATCAGCTATCTTTCATCAGCTGTCTTCAATCATGAAACCTGGAGTGTTTCTTTCATTTGCACAGGAATTACCTGAGCGAGGTGGGAAGTGTGATATCTGGGCTTAAGAGCGTACAGCTGAGCAGTCAAGTAGCTTATGGGGAGATGCCCTTCCTTCCAGTTCTCCACAGTGAGGGTGGAGGCTGCTGCCTTTCAGAATATCGTGCAACTAGGATATTCCCCACTCACTGCAAATACCACATTGCTTGATTAAAAAAATTAAAAACCCTTATTGAAGTTTCTTTTATGGAAAGATTCATGCTCATGTCTTGGAGCTGTACATGGTGGTAGATCAGTAGTTGTGCCCTGATGTGACCTTCCTAACGACCTTGTGTAGTATCCAACTTACAGCTGCAGAAGACACCGTGCATGCATGCTTTCCTACTCACAAGTCATCCCTCTCTCTTTCTCTTACTCTTTCCTCTCTTCTGCACTTGGCTCCCCTTAAGGTATTTTCCATCTAATGCCCCCTCTTCCCTGAGACACCCAGTCCTTCCTAAAGAATAATAAAGTCTTGACCCTTACTAATTTCCTGTTATGTGAAAATTCAATTTTTTCACGTGTCCATTGGAGGTGGGTGGTTTCACTGGATCAGTTGATTCCTTGGGAATTTCAAGGGATTTCCGGTCTTAGTTTCTGCTGGAGCTGCAGAGGGGAAGGTCTCTGAATGACTGGTGGGTCAGAAATAAATGGATGGGAAGAAAAGAGGTGTAGTGCATCTTGTTTTCTCATAAAGTACCTCCACCCTACATAACTTTCCTGTTTAGCATGACTATAACCCAGTTGATTTGCAAAATTATAGCTATGGTCTTATAATGCTAACCCTAACCACATGTTACTCCTTCTTGGCTCTGTGTTTCATTTCAAAGCTTCCTCACAATATCTGAAAGGGAATGGCAGTGCTTATACAGCAAGATCTGTCAGTTCTGGCTGAAGCCCCAAAAAGATGCAGGAGAAAACATTATCCTTAATTCCCAAATTCCCAATGGAGGAACCGGATCACAAATGCAGGATTAGCAAAGAAGTTGACCATGAAAAGTATCTTGAGACACTTACCTTCTATGCCTACTTGAAGGTATATTAAAAAGCTATAGAATCCAGGGAGCAAGATTTCTTTACAAACTGTGTTGGTGTACTGTGATTGTGACTTCACTCTGTCTCTCACAGGGAAGCATGAGAAAAACATCACTTTCACACCAAGCATTATAGGATGGGCTTCAGGAAGGCTACTTGGAAATTTCAGCATGGTGATGCATCATGTCTGATGCATCTAGAAAATATCTACAGGCAGAAAGCCGTGGCTGGAGCTGGGCAGGATGGCAGGACAAGAAGTAGTCAGCAGCGGGAGTAGACACAGTGGTATGTTAAGCATGACAAAGGATGTGATTCCCATAGACCAGGTGGATGATACACGAGGTCACTGGGTTGGAATCATCCTAAAGTAAAAACAACAACAACAACAACAACAACAACAAAAAACCCAAGGATGTGGTATGTTAGGGCAAAGGGACTCAGCATAAAATGGTTTTAAAGATGTAGCCGTGGGAAGAAGGGAGTTGAGGTAAATTCATAAGAGATCAACTAGAAAGGATATTAACCATTCAGGAAATTGCTAAATGCCATGGCCTGCTCAGGAGCCTTGAGAGAAGACATAAATTTGCCTCCAAAAGAGATTCACCTTAGAATGCTGCTATAGTCATTCCTTTCACTGTATAACAAAGCACCACAGACTTACCTACTTAAAACCACACATATGGTCTCACCAATTCCGCAGCTCAGAAGTCTGTGTGTGATGTGTTTAGAATCTCTGCTCAGGATTCCACAGGACTGAAGTCACAGTATTGACAGGGGCTGCGATCTCATCTGAGGCCAGAGATCCTCTTCCAAACTCACGTGGCCAGGAGCCAACCCGGACAGTGCCAGCAACTACAGACTGCCTAGCATTCTCTGTTCCATGGCTCCTTCCAAAACATGGCAGCCTTCTCCTTTAAGACCAGCAAGATACTCTCTCTCATACTTCAAAACTCCAACTTCTTTTTAACAGCACTAATTGGGAGTGGGGGGGACATTGAAACAGTGCTATTTGAAATTTTTGGTCTACTATTACAATTAAATTGGTCATTAATTCAAATTAGATTGTTATAAATTATAATATTAATTATAACCCCCAGGGCAACCACTCCAAAAATAACTCAAAAATATATAGCTAATGAAAGAAATGAAAATGGTACATTGCACCATATCTATTTAGCAGTAACAAAAAGAAGTAATGAAGACCTGCTTAGTTTCCCACCTGGGGTGGTTCACCCCTCCTTAGGGAACCTGGTGGTCCCCCTCTCCTGGGAAGTCGCCATACTGATGCTGAACTTAGTGTGGATACCTGATTGGCATAGCACACTACATCCCAGAACTCCTGGACTCAAGCAATCCTCCTGCCTCAGACTCCCAAGTAGCTGGGACTATAAGTGTGTGACACCACATCCAGCAAGAAGCAATGAATAAATTTGAATTAATCCATTTACATTTAATGTAATTATATTAAATGCAAATGGTTAAGCACTCCAATTAGAGATTGGAAAATGGATTTTTTAAAAGCTCCAACTCTATGCTGCCTATAAGAAAGTCACCTTAGATTAAAAAAATCAAAGGTTTAAAATAAAAAGAGGCCAAAAAAATGCCATGAAAATAATAACCAAAAGAGAGCCATAGTGGCTATACTAATAGCATATAAGACAAAATTGCTATTAGAGAAAAAGAAAGACATTTTATAGTGATAAAAGAGTGAATCCATCAAGTTAATACAACAATTATGAACATATATGCAACTAACAACAGAGCCCCAAAGTACACGAAGAAAAAACAAACAGAAATGAAATGGGAACTAGATAATTCAATAATAATAGTAGGAGATTTCAATACCTACCTTCAGTAATGGATAGAACAACTAGAAAGAAGATTATTAAGAAAATATAAGATTTAAATAACACTGCAAACCAATTAGACCTTACAGACATGCGTGAAACACTCCTGCCTCAGCCTCCTAAGCAGCTGGGACTGCAGGTGTGTACCACCACACTCGGCTAACTTTTTCTATTGTTTAGTAGAGACGGAGTCTCACTCTTGCTCAGGCTGGTCTTGAACTCCTGATCTCAATGGACCCTCCTGCCTTGGCCTCCCACAGTTCTAGGATTACAGGTGTGAGCCACCATGCCCAGTCATAATTTGAAATAAATTAAGATGCAAAATACTATTTATTTTTACTCAGACACTTATTTTTATTATATTTTTTAGTCTACCTGAAAGTCTAAGTTTTTTTCTGGTATAATTTCTCTTCAGCCTGAAGAATTTCCTCTAACTGTTCTTGTAGGGAATTTCTGCTGGAGAAAAATTCTTTTAGTTTTCTTTGAAAATGTCTATTTTTCCTTGATTTTTGAAGACTATTTTCTTCTGAATACTAAACTGAGGCTGGCAGGTTTTTGTTTGTTTTGTAGATATTGTTGTTTTCCTTTAGCACATTAAAGATGGCGTTCTGTTTTTATCTGACCTTTAATTTTCTGATAAGAAGTCAGTGGTGACTCAGTTGTTTTTCTGGACAGAATGGGTTACTTTTCTCTGGATGCTTTCAAGATTTTCTCTGTTCGTTTGGATTTCAAAAGTTTGACTGCAATGCACCTAAACATATCATTCATGCTCTCTAGAGTTTGATGAGCTTCTGGTTTTCAAAATGTATGTCTTTCACCAAATTTGGAAGTTTTCAGCAATTTTTTCTTGAATTACTTTTTGCTCCATTCTGATTCTCGCCTCATTGTGGGATTCCAATTACCTATTTACTATAGATTTTCATAGTAGTAGCCTTGATGGCCTGTTTTATAAATCATTTTGCCACTTTGATCCTCATATTGTATAATTTCTAATTTGCTGAGCCATTATCCTGTCATATTCATTACTTTATCAAATCTATTCAGTCAATTTTTTGGGTATCATGATTTTTAGTTTCGAAATTTATTTATATTTCCTATTTTCTGATGGGATTTTCCTTTTTTTAAAAAAATTATTCCAAGGGAATTTCCTTTACCACTTGGATAATGTAAAAATGGGTGTGCTAAAAAAAATAAATAAAATGAGTGTATTAAAGTCCTTGCTGATCATTTCAGCATCTAAGTTGTGACTAGTATGTTGAAGAGAATTTGGATGCTGTTATGTTTCTCTGACACTTGTTTTTTTTTTGTTTTGTTTTAGTAGAAAACTAACTCCATTAAATTCAAATTGCAAACACGGTCATGTCTGTGATGGGCAGGAGCTCAAATCTCTCTCTGTTCGTTCATTTGTTGCTTTTGTTTTTAACTAGTTTGCTTTGCTGATATGTGGGTTAGCAACAATCAGGGACAGAGTTTGTGCAAAGAACCCAGAGCCCTCCTTCTCTGGGTGTCCCTTTTAGTATTTTCCAGTGGCTATGGCCACTCTTGTGTCCAAACTTCAGAAAGATGGTAGAATTTTTTTATCTTTAGCTTCTTCATGCCACATTGAAATCACAGAGAACTCTCAAAAATATGCCTGCTTTTATTTCAATGTTCATATCCTTCAGGTAGTTATTTTTTCCCCCAGAGTCTTGCTTGTTATTAATGAGAGGATTGGTCTATTGGAAGCTCACTCTACTCTACTGGAAATAAAACTGCTCACTTGGTCTATGGTCTTTCATACAACCTCCCTACTTAAAATCCTTCAATAACTTTCTTTTGATTTTAGGACAAAATTCAAATTTTTTAGTAACATATACCTGAGCAGCATAAGTACACATGGTAGTTGCCTGACATGTTTGTTGAATGAATGCTATTTTCATGAAATATGAAATATGGTTATATTTAATAATAATGTCATTGTCCTTAATAATATGTTATACCCATATAAACTTTGAACATTTAATAACAATCCATTTAATTGCTTGACTATTCATGAATGTCCCTAACTGGACAACTTTCAATGAATAAATCAAATACCACATATATTTTGAGAACCTACTGTTGCAAAGCACTGCTGTGAGGAATTAATGGAAAAGAAGGACGAGAGGTAAGCTGTTTTCCTCTGCAGAGCTCGCAGTCTAACTAGGGAGATAAATTTTTTATATACTATAACTTTTGCAAAGCAATTGCACCAACAACCAATTAATAACTGCTGAATAAATTTTATAAAAGAGTAAGTTGGGCTGGACACAGTGGCTCATGCCTATACTCCTAGCACTCTGGGAGGCAGAGGAGGGAGGATCGCTGAAGGTCAGGAGTTTGAGACCAGCCTGAGCAAGAGCGAGACCCTGTCTCTACTGAAATTACAAAGAAATTAATTGGCCAACTAAAAATATATATAGAAAAAATTAGCCGGGCATGGTGGTGGATGTCTGTAGTCCCAGCTACTCGGGAGGCTGAGGCAGGAGGATCGCTTGAGCTCAGGAGTTTGAGGTTGCTGTGAGCTAGGATGACACCACGGCACTCTAGCCTGGGCAACAGAGTGAGACTCTGTCTCAAAACAACAACAACAACAAACCCAGAGTAAGTTGTTTGTAAATATTAGCTAAGGAGAAAAACGTAGCAATTACAGATCTGTGGACATGGTGGTCGGTATGGCAGGGCTTGCAAGAAAAAATAGAGAAGTTTAGGCAGAGACACAGGGCAGAGTATTCCAGGCAGGAAGGCAGGGTTCTCTGCCTTACGGTCCCATAAATGTGATTTAGATAAAATCTGATCTGTCAGCCCACACCTTGTTCACTGGAGCATGGAAAATAGTACCTTCTTAATGAACATCACAAAACAAAGTTGGCTTCCAGCCCCTTCAGAGCAGCAGTATGTGTTTTCATCAACTTCCTCTGATGAAGAGCTGGACTGTAGCTACTGCACCGTCTTTGTCATCTCTCCACTGATGCCTGGAGCCATGAGAATCTTTTTCTTAATGTTTGCTGCACTCATTCTTCTTGTCCAAACTGTCCCAGGTAAGAGGGAAATCTTTATAGAGGTAGCGATGGCAACCTGCACAGGGTCTGTCTTTTGAGAAGAAAGCTCAACTTTCACAACAGTTCATGATCCATCCCTGTGTCCTGCAAAGGTCCCAGGCCAACCAGTCACTGGAAAAATCTTTTCCTGAGCCCAGACCTAAAACAATGGGACCACGCCGACCTAGACCATCTCCAACCATAAGAGTGTCTATTCAAGTTCCTAATAGCTCTGCCAAGGGGTTCAGACTTATTTTACTTTTAGATTTCTTTCCTCCTTTTGTAATCTTCATCCCAGCTTCAGCATATGCTAAAGTGATTGCTCTAAAATGAGAAAAAAAAAATCAGAGGCAAACGCCAAACACTCATGTTAATTTAGAGAAAGTACACCTTTTATAGCCTAAATTAAATGAAAGTTACATTAATAAGTTCTTTAAAGAGCTATTTTTTTTTCATGTCTGAGTAGTTGGTCCAAATCTCTCATCTATAGATTATTTCAGACTTTCTTTCTGGCTCTCACACACTGATAGAAAATTACATCACTGAAACCACTAACATTGTGATTGGGGTGCTCTTCAGTCTTTAAGTCTCTTGAACTGGTGTCTCTTTGCTCAATATAGTCATGAGTCTACTCCTAAGAAACTTTTGTGTCCATATTTCCTCAACTACCTCATTCCTTCTGTTATGAAGCCTTTCCTTTGAAAGGCTCTATGTGCATCATAAAGTGCCCTGTTCATTTCCTCATGGTTTCCTGAATTTCTACACCTATTTATTACACATTCCAGGCACAGTAGTCCTAGCAAGCCAGTAGATATCAAATGTGTGCTTGCCACTTAATGGGAAATTGCTCTGGTCTCTATATTAAAGACAGGTAAAATGAAGAAGTAAAAATATAATTAAAGCATGGTCCTTGGCCTTAATTTTCTTTAAATTTATTAGTTTATTACTTCTGTGTTGTTCAAAAACAGATTGCCCAAAATTGTAAATAAGCATTCAATAAATTTAAAATCTATAAGTAAGTGAATGGTCGAGATAAGCAGATGACAAGTAACTTTAATAGGAAACAATTTTCATAAATGCCTCAAAACATGCAAAGTGCAAAGAGAAGCTATGAAAGGGGAAGCTTGGTTCTAACTAGGAGATTTGGAAAGGCTTTTGGAGAAGTAATATTTGCATTTATGAATGAACTTTTGAACGAACCTTTTAAAACAGGACAGGACTTGAACTAAAGAACAGAATGTACTCTACATATGTGCCAGTGATAAAAAAAAAATAACATAAATAGAAAAATACAAGTTTTTAAAAAATAAAAAGAGAAAAAATATAATGAAGAAACGATCAAGGAATAATGCTTCCATGTTTGATAATAATGTCCCCCCTAATTCTACAATTCCACTTGTAAAATTAATTAATTAAAAAATTAATTCCTTAGCTTCTGCCCTCAGTTTCTTTCTACAGATATCAGACAACGTTCCAGGCCAGAGAAACTCATTTCAAGCTGCCTTCCCCACTCCCCTTAATCAAGACTCTTGTGCATTCAGATGAATCTATAGAAGCGGGTGCTGAGTAGCTCCCTGTCCCCCCAAACTCGGCCCAGACATGTTTGAATCCCAACAATAAGCACAGTTTGGATACAAACTGGGACCACCACAATCACAAAAGTCACACAGAATCTGAGAGTTGGAAATGAATTTGACAATCCACGTAACAGGTGACTAGCACAGATTATTAGATGAAACTGTTTGAGATCGAATCTCAGCTCCAACCCTCATCCACTGTATAAACTCTGTACTTCAATTTTCTTTCTATAAATGATAATAATAATAGTGTTTTGAAGATTAAAAAACTTGTTATATTCATTAGTTAGAGGCTAACTTGTTATAATAAAGAAACTCAAAAATAGAATGACTAAGAAAATATAAAAGTTGATTTATCTTTCATGTAAAAGTCCCCAAATAGGTAAGTTGGCTAGGCTGTGGTACAAAGCTCTTCTCCATCAAGTTTTGTCAGGATTAGGGCTGCAGGTCAACCCTGCCATCCTAAACATGTGACCATTGTATCCGATTCCAAGGATGCTCTAACAAGGAGAGCTAGAAAGCAAATATGGGTGGGGCTCAGTGGCTCAAAATTTTAGCACTTTGGGAGGCTGAAGTGGGGAGGATCACTTGAGGCCAAGAGTTCGAGACCAGCCTATGCAATAGCAAGACTCCATCTCTACAAAAAGTTAAAAAAATTAGCCTAGTATGGTGGCATACACCTGCAGTCCTAGCTATTCAGGAGGCTGAGGCAGGAGGATCACTTGAGCCCAGGAGTTTGAGGTTGCTGTGAGCTATGATTGCGCCCCTTACTCTCATCTGGACAACAGAGTGAGACACTATCTCCAAAAAATAAATAAGTAAGTAAATAAATAAATAAAATAAAGCAAGTATGAGACATAATTTAAAAGATTCCATAGGAGCAGCTCACAGTATTCCACTCTTATTTCATTTGTCCAAACTTATTAATGTGGCCATATAGAAATATAGAAACTAGGTGCTGACATCTTTAAGTATCCAGGTGTCCAGCTAAACCCAGAAGTTCTATTACTAAAAGTCTGAAGGGAAAAATGACTCTTTGGAGACAATTTAACAAACTCTCTCTTCATATAACTGCTTTGGTAGTGCCAGGCACATACATGTTAGAGTTAAATGTCATTATCATTGTATTGTAATTTGTTCTCCCTCTTCATATTTTTCTTATTCTCTGCCCTGATTCAGTATTTGAGCACATTAAATATATTCCATGTCAACTGCATGTCCAGATGCCTGACAAATTTCAGTCATCTGTAACTCACAATATCCTGAGTTCTACTTTGGCTTATTTAAAATTTTCCCCTTACTTTAAGCAGAAATTCTTGCAATTTCTTTCCAATGGTCTCAGTCCTAACTTGGATAGTAACAAACCCAACATCTCTTCCACAAGGTAATAATTCAGATATGTGGTTAATGATATGCACCTTTTCTCCCTAAAGTTGTTCTCTCCAATAAAAAGCATTGCTCCTTTTGAGAGTAGCTGACATCTCTTTTGATTATTTCTCCTCCTATTTCTCCTAAGAATATATTAACATATTGCCAATGTAAAACAAAATTCCTCTTTGGTAATATGTTCACTCTCTTCAACATGGTCTCTGTTCTGAATGAATGCACATTGCCTAAACCCCTCTTAATTTGTTTGTCAAAGCTACATGCATGACCACATTCATGTTCTCTGCAGAGTGACAGGACTAGCACCATGTTGCTTTTTTGTTTCTACCTAAGATTGTGAAACTCCAAAACCATATGCAAAGGCACATGGTCTATCATTTATCTGCCTATAATGTAATAACACTGTGCAACTTTTGCTATACATCATTAACTATTAATTTGGAGATATGAAAAAAATCACTTGTTAGAAACAGTTGTTTATCGGAATTAGAAAGTATTTTGCCACCCTCCCAGGAAGAAACACTCTGTGTCTATGTAACACACATATAATTTCGGCATAGGGAAACTCTTTTTTTGTTTTTCCTAATTGGCTACCTAATGAGGACATTTGCCAGGGTCTGAGCTCCGACGTGACTGGTCAGACGTCTGCTTTTTCTGATTCCTAGGCTCATACCCTGCCACTCAAGGAGATTTGGTCATGGGGAGTTTTGAATTTTTCCTGGGTGATGCAATTTTGTCCTCCAGTAACTAATTAATAGATAACTAAAGACTAATTGCTTTCTTCACCTAGCCAGGGGAGGAATGCAAAGAGAAGCACTTTGTAAGAAATTGAGAGGCCGCTGTCAAGTTGAATGCCTCACTATTGACGAGCAGATTGGAGGCTGTAGAGCGGAATTAATACCACTTTGCTGCAAAAGAAGACGTCTTAAAATCTAAGCAGCAGCTACAAGAATGAAAGAGGTAAAGATAATTTGGCTGTGATATCAGTGGGGAAACCTCTCTGAATCTTCTCTTTGACCTCTAGATTTTGGATTCTCTGCAATTGCATCATTCCAGTGTCTGATGCTACAGGGAGATACTCTCCCCAGGCCATGAGTTTCTCCAGGACAGGCGCTATGTCTTGTTTACCTTTTCACCCCCAGTTCCTGGAACAGGATCTATTACTATTTTGTTAATTGCTCAAGTAAGTGAGTGAATAAATAGATAAGACAAATATGATTTTTAAATTTTTTGGGTAGAGACAGGGTCTTGCTATATTGCCCAGGCTGATCTTGAACTCCTGGCCTCAAGGGATCCTCCCACCTTGGCCTCCCAAAGTGCTAGGATTACAGGTGTGAACTACCATGCCTAGCAAGAATCTTAATTTTTAAACAACTTTTCCAATTAAGTCTCCTGCACAGTAATGTTTGAGAGCTATTGATCACTGAACAGAGGAGCATCTGAGATTCGTATCTGAGCACTGGTCTCTTTGCCATACCTCAGATAGTGGCAGAAATAGAGATTCAGAACTCAAATCCAGAATTCCTGGCTTTGTGTCTAGTGGCATTTTACTGTGTTGTCCTGTACCATTTGAAAAGGAGTGTTGACAGGGAATGGCCAAAGGGCTCACCTGCTTGTTCAACTAGAGAAACAAAGCCCAGACTTTAGTGGGGGAGACAGATATATGCCCAGCAAATTCACGTGCCATGTGGTAAATTCTACAACCTTACCTGAGACCTGTGGGAATTTAGAAAAGATGTGGAGGAAGCCAGTAATTATGATTGGAGTTACTGGAGTCTGGGGAGGTTTCCCAGACAAAATGCAACCTAGCCTAAATCACTTAAACTGAAGGATTGTTGTTGATAAACCTCTATTTTGTTTCCAATATATTGGTAGTTTATGTTCCCATTTGACAATTGTTTCCATTCAAAACTGCCCACTTTCATTCTTCTGGGGAACTGGATGCCCAAAATAATAAGGACTCTTTGTCCTTATTTGTCCTCTCATGAAAGCCATTCTGCTCGCACGAGTCACCTCTGTCCCTGGTGATCCTGACCGAGGTATACAAAGGTCCTTATTACCCAAACAGGTATATTCCACCGGCCCTGGTGAGCTGCTGACCAAAGTGAAGCCATCTCCTGCCTATCTCTGGAGACATCTTCACCTGTGAGGACTATCAAGATTTTTATTTGCCACTGCTTTTTTTTTTTTTTGCATTTCATTCTTTTTTGAAACAAGTCTCACCAGGTAACACAAAAAGGCTGTAGAAGTCTTGGTAAGTTTAAAGAACCTAAGAGCTCAAGGGAATCCTGCGCATTGGACAAAAATCTCTGATATCCATACTCAGAGAAGGGGCCCATGAGAAACCAGAAGAGTTGATGCCTGAGACACCTGAAGTCACGTGAGCCCTGCATGCGCCCCTCCCACTGTGTCAGGTAAAGACGGATGTCGGTGAAATGCACTCTGGGTGCTTTGCAAGTGTCTGGAACTACCTCTGCTTCATCACCAAAACTGCACAGGATCTGCGTGATAGAAAATGGGGCATTTTCCTGATAAGTCTTTGTCTCTGAACTCCCTCTGCTTGTTCTCCAAGCCGGTGATGCTAAGACTGGAAAGATGGGAAAGCTCCATGGGCCCTGGCACGGCAGGGTGATGCCAGCTCACTAGACAGGTTCACCTGGAAAACCAACCCATTGCCCTCAGTTCTGCTGTGCCTCTCTCTGGGCTTGACTCTGTCCCTGTGAGTTTATTCCAACCCTTGGCTTTGCCTCTTTTTTTCCCAACCCCTGGTCTTCTCAAATAGACCCCAAACACAGGGATCTGAGCTGCTCCTGAGACCGAGTGGCCCTTTCACCTTCAGGGTAGGATCAGGGACTAGGAGTAACAACCATCCTGCCTAGACCTGCCCTGAAGTGGCTCTGAGCCAGACTCCCCACCTTTGTCCAAGGAAATAACTGGAAACATGAAAGAAAAGGCCAGTTTCTAAAACTCATGCCCAAGTATATTGTTCAAGGAGGAGCAAACAGTATCAATGCACATGAAATCAGATATTTGTTTATGTTTTGCTGAGGAATGAAGGCCCTACAGTTTGGTGAAGTGTATAAAAAGTAGACACGGAGGAAACAGCAGTGCTCGCTTAACCAGGGTGATGATATAGGGGAGGAAAATGAGGATAACGGTGGCTATGGTAACAACGATGGTTTTCATCTATCAGGCATTGCAGCCATTTAGACAAATAGGACATAGTTTCTATTGTCTAGGAGCCTATTAAGTCTTCAATTCAATGATTCTGTAAAAATCACCCTACATATCATTTTACACAATGAAGTTATTAGATGTTGTTGTTACCCTAAAAAACAGAAAAACAAGGACCAATTGTGAAAATTGCACAGAAGTTTTCCCATCAAACAAACAAACAAAAAACATAAGAAACAAAACTATTAATAAATACGGGCTGCCACAATGAGATACCACTACGCAATATTGGAATCACTAATAAATGTATTGAAAGTCAATAATAAGTAATTTAAAAAACAATACTAAAATATCAAGTGCTTGAGAGGATGTGGAACAGCTAGAACTCTGTAACATCTTCTGGTGGAAATATAAAATGATGCGGCCACTTTGAAATAAACCTCAGCAATGTCTAACAAAGTTAAACATCTACTTAGCACATAACTTAGCAATCCCTCTGGTACATGTTTGCCCAAATGAAATAAAAACCATATTCACACAAAAATCTATAGACACACATTTCTATCAGCTTTATTTATAATTTTCAAAATCTGGAAGCAACCCAAATGCTCCTCGACAGGGACATGGGTGAACACACATAGATCAGCAAGACGGCAGTGTGCTACTCAGCAGTCAAGAGATGGAACACTGATGTGTACAACGTGTTGGAATTATAAGTAGATTACACTAGATGAAAGAAGCCAGAATTTAAAAAAGACTATATGTCATATGATTCCATTTATATGAAATTCTGTAAAAAGAAAAATTATAGAGACATTAAACATGAGTGATTGCCAAGAGCTAGGGGGAGAGGATGACTTTTTGTGCTGATGGAACTTTTTTGTATCTTGATTGTAGAGGTGAGTACCTGCCTGTGGTAACTACATAGATTCGTCAGTTCAGCACGAGAATGAACACACACACACACACACACATTTATGCATAAACTATATCTTCACAATAAACGTGGGGATTGGAAACAAATGATGTGTTGGCATGAATCTCTACCCCAGTGGCTGGAAATAAGCTAATTTTGTGGAGAGTTTCCCTGTAACACACTCACAAACACTTTGCAAATTAACTTGAAAAAGTATTACTATTTATTTTCAAGGGTTTAATATGTTCTTTAAGAAATGAGTGTTGTGAGCAATATAATCCATAGGGTTATAGGAATAGCAGTGAGGCTATGCTATCTGCAGACACCACAAAATCATTCAGTGTCAAAGTTGGAAGAAATCTCGTCTATGATCCAGTCCAATTTTGCCATTTTGCACAGAAGACATTTATGACTGCTCCCACCTCCCCCCGCCACCTGAGTGAAGTCCAACATCACAGTGTGAGCTGGCTGTCAGTGCCAAAATACTTCTTAATATCTTAACTTCTAGTCCTGCGTTCTTCCCACAGCATCCCACATGCAGGTTATGTTGGATTATTTCCCTTGTACGGACTTTCTAGTAAAGTCAGGGGAGAAAGTGCCACCACATCCAACTGCATTAATGTGGGAACACATAAAAATGATTATTTCTATTTACAGAACCATTGTCATTATACAACAATACCAAAGGCTCTGGTTAGTACTTTGTACACACCCACCATTTATAATGTATGGGACAGATGGAGTAATTACTTCAAGACATTAAAACAAAGGTGGCCCGCATGCATGGTTCTGAGATAGTGTGTCCACAGAGAGCAAACCTGGAAAAGTGGAATGAGCTTTAGGACACAGGGTTGTAAAGCTGTTGCCACCCCTTCTTCTAATGAATAGGTGACCTTCTCTTCTCTGGGTCTTTCTTTCTTCAACTGTAAAACAAAGTTATTAGAATAGACTAGATCACCTACATGATCCTCCTAACTCTGAGTGCCTCTAAAGCAAATAGTAATGACTCAGTGTATTCACAACATATAATGCAAGATACACAGTTCACTAAGAAAGAACTAAAAATACATTAAAAAGTGAGACAGGTGCCCATATTAAATCAAATGCCTCCAGGTGACAGAGAGGTAAGAAATGAGGGGAGTAGATGAGATTTAAGAAATACTGACACAGTTTTAGGAGTGATGTCAGCAAGATGGTGAGACAGGAGGCCCCGGCTTCTTCCTCCTTCCATAGACATGAAGAATAAGCAGCTACACACAGATCAATTCTTTCTGAGAAAAATCCAGAAATAATTGAGAGGCTCTTGCACGCTGGGCATCTGAGAAAATGCCCACATCGAAATGGGCAGGAAAAACACAGACACACTCTCACCTTCAATGGCAACCTCAACACAGCACAGGAGGGAGGGAGACACCAATTTTCAGCTTTTCCTGGAGGAATGAAGGGACTGTACATATAATACTCTAGATTTGGCCGGCGCTGTGGCTCACGCCTGTAATCCTAGCTCTTGGGAGGCCGAGGCGGGCGGATTGCTCAAGGTCAGGAGTTCAAAACCAGCCTGAGCAAGAGCGAGACCCCGTCTCTACTATAAATAGAAAGAAATTAATTGGCCAACTGATATATATATAAAAAATTAGCCGGGCATGGTGGCGCATGCCTGTAGTCCCAGCTACCCGGGAGGCTGAGGCAGAAGGATCACTCGAGCCCAGGAGTTTGAGGTTGCTGTGAGCTAGGCTGACACCACGGCACTCACTCTAGCCTGGGCAACAAAGCGAGACTCTGTCTAAAAAAAAAAAAAAAAAAAAAAAAAAAAAAACTCTAGATTTTATGGCTGCTACCCAAGGGA